AGCTGGGACGAAGAAGAAGGAAGGGGTGGGGGGATGTTTGGAGTGATGGCATCTGTCCTCCCAAGAAATTGTTACGCGTGATGGAGCCCTGCTTCCCTGGAGATGGCTGAACACCTGCCTGCCCATGGGGAGTGGTGAATGAATTCCTTGTTTTGCTCTGCTTGTATGCACAGCTTTTGCTTTACTTATTAAACTGTCTTTATCTCAAACCATGAATTTCCTCATTTTTAGTCTTCCAATTCTCTCCCCCGTCCCACTGTGGGGGAGTGAGGAGCAGCTGCCTGGGGCTTAGTTGCTGGCTGGGGTGAAACCATGGCACTATTAAACTGTCTTTATGTCAACCCACAAGTTTTCTTACTTTTACCTTTCTGATTCTCTCCTCCATCCCACCATGGGGGGAGTGACCAAGAGGCTGCATGGTGCTTAGTTGCTGGCTGAGGTTAAACCACAACACTTCCCATGCAAGTAATTCTATGAATCTTAGTAACTTTCCAGAAGATATTACATTTCTATCTCAAGTTACAGTTACAGTTTGATTTTATCAGACAGACTCAATAGACCAGATGAAATCTGATGTATAATTTGGAAACACCTGGGGGGAACAAGAGGGGAAACTCAGCTCCAACCTTGCTTCGTGTTATTAGATGAATTTCTGTCATGAGTTTAAAAACAGTGCTGTGAGCAAGTATGTGTCTATTTTTTAAAAACCCATTTTCAAATGGTTTCTGACATTTTAGTTAAGGACAGCATGGAGACAAGGAGAGAGACAGGAAGAGGTTGGGGGGAAATATTAGATATAGTGAAACAAGGACCTGGGACAGTTATGAGTTTATTTTAGCATGTGTAATTAGTCAGGTGTGGGCTTTGTAAATTTCCTTTTGTAGTTGTGTGGACTTTCTGGAGGGCTGTTGATTGCATGATTGGTTTGGCTTTTATACAGATTTCTTTGGCCTAATGACTATGTGATTGTGTTTAACAGCCTACTCCCATAGTCCTTAGGCTATAACTTGCCTCAATGCTAACATTTCAGCTATGTGTAAATAGTTAATCACAAGAAATGTGTGTGTGTAGAACCAAGAGGCCTCATGAAATCAAAACAAAGAAGAGTTAAGAGTAAGGACTGAGAAATTAATGAGTACAGAGAAATTACCCTTGAGAATAGAACATCCCAGCAGGAGTGCTCAAAGAAGGATGATAAGAAAGAATTGCTTGGCTATACAACAGAAGGGGCAAACATCCAAGGAGAAGAGACTGTCCTCAGAAGACCCGTGACCATAAAAGGAGTAGGGGGCTAACTCCCCAAACGACCACCGATGACCACCCGAGACTCCCGTGCATGCGTAGTGTAGTTTTGCAACACCAGCATTACGTAAATGTAGTAGATAGGCAGGGAGGTGGAAATTTCTCGGAAATATCATGAATATGCATGCATAACAATTGTAATGAATATGAATGTATGTACTCTATATAATTCAGATGCTGGTAACACGAGGCATGCATGTTAGGAGGAGATATCCCCCATGTGTCCGGCGCTGTAATAAAGATGTCTGCTTAATAACACTTTGATGTTATTAAGTATGAATTTCTTGAGTTTGAATTTCTTAAGTTTGAATTTCTTTAAATCAATAGTCACGGATTCCTGAGCAGAAACAGCTCATTATGGAGCAGGGTTATAACATGAAGTTTTAATTTAATTTTATTCCACAAAAAAAAAGCAGCAACAACAATTCAGCTTTCCAAAGCTGGACAACTCATCAGGGAGTACATGGGGAGGTGACGTGGTGAAGCCCAGGATTGTCAGGTAACCTCATGGCAGGGGTCTGCAATTGCTAGTAACTCACTGAGGGGATCTGTGATACAGTCAGATTCCCAAGGATTGAGCAGATTGAAGAACTGGATTTTCTGGCAGAGTTCGTTCAGGAAGCTCTGCAGCAGGTAGTACTAAACCACCCTGTTAGTAACATCCTGGGGACTTGCCTGTGTACTCAGAGGAGAATAAAGCCTGCAGCAAATATTACATCAAGTGTCTTTCCTTACCAGTGCAGGATACAGCTACCTTGCTCTTGAAATCTCCTTGGAATGACAGAGGACGTGACTACAGAGTGCCTAGTTTCTCACAGTGGCCCAGTCTCCCACAACAGTCCAGTCGCAGCCCCTGAGCTTCCCTTCCTGGAAGAAGCAAACTAGCCTTTAGGAAGGGGAACACAGAAAAGAAAGTAAACTTACATCTTCAGAAGAGATGACAGGGAGGGGCAGTCCTCTGCTGCCACGAGCAATCAAATCATATGATTTTCATAAACCTGAACTTTTTATTTTTTTAATTAAAAAAATCTTACCTTATCTTCTCAACAAGTCAGCTAGGGAGTGGGACCACAGTTGGACCCCAGAAGCAGAGTGTTGCTGGCCCGAGGTGTTTCCTGGAGGTGGCTGAAGATTGGGGTCCTGCAGCCAGGGAAGCAGAGCCCTGGCCCTGCAGCATCCTGATAGCCACCAACATGTGCCTGGTGGCATGTGCGAACAGCAGGATCACAGGAAATAATACATGTTAATTCAAACGCTATTTGGGGCTACTCATTATAAGTCTGTGAATAGTCTTGCGCAGGTTTTCATCATATTCTGCCTAGTGTGGTAGAAGGTTAGTTTCAGGCCTGATATATTACGCGCCAAACCCAACAAACTGTCACAACAGCCAAGCCGGGTGCATATGTGTGTGAAATGCAACGATGAAAATACAATAGAGGCTAATTATTGATTAATGTAATATTATATCTTTATACAAGGCTAGACTATATAAAGCCGATCACATTGAAAGGGAAAAAAACCCAATGTCCATGAGAGGGCAGCAAACCCTTAATACTGGAAAAAATTTTTTCACCCTGACCATTTTCAGGTCAAAAGCCAGCTATAGAATGTCTATTGCTGCGATTTTTGTTAAATATTGCTTTGTGTTATGGTGGGTTGGCCCTGGCTGAATGCCAGGAGCCCACCAAAGCCGCTCTATCACTCCCATTCTCAGATGGACAGGAGAGAGAAGCTACAATGAAAGGCTCATTGGCCAAGATAAGGGCAGGAAGAGATCATTCAGCAGTTACAGTCACAAACAAAACAGACACGATTTGGGGAAAATTAATTTAATTTGCTACCAAGCAAATCAGAGTAGGGTAATGAGAAATAAAAAATAAATCCTAAAACACCTTCCCTCCACACCTCCCTTCTTCCTCGACTTAACTTCGCTCCCATTTTTCTATACCTCCTGCCCACACAGTGGCACAGAGGGACAGGGGATGGGGGTTGCGGTCAGTTCATCACACCTTGTCTCCCCTGCTCCTTCTTTCTCAGGGGCAGGACTCCTCGCACTCTTCCCCTGCTCCAGCATGGCGTCCCTCTCATGGGAGACAGTCTTCCATGAACTTCTCCAGCTTGGGTCCCTTCCACGGGGTGCCATCCTCCAGGAACAGGCTACTCCAGCATGGGTCCTCCATGGGGTCACAAGTCCTGCCAGCAAACCTGCTCCAGCCTGGGCTCCTCTCTCCATGGGGCCACAGGTCCTGCCAGGAGCCTGCTCCAGCGTGGGCTTCCCACAGGGTCACAGACTCCTTCGGGCATCCACCAGCTCTGGCGTGGGGTCTTCCACAGGCTGCAGGTAGATATCTGCTCCACCATGGAGGTCCATGGGCTGCAGGGTGACAGCCAGCCTCACCATGGTCTTCACCACAGGCTGCAGGGGAATGTCTGCTTTGGTGCCTGGAGCACCTCCTCCCCCTCCTTCTGCACTGACCTTGGTGTCTGCAGAGCTGTTGCTCTCACGTATTCTCAATCTCTCCGTCTGCAATGATTGCCATTGCGCAGCAACTTTTCCCCCTTCTTCACTATGTTATCACAGAGCTGCTACCACCATCACTGATGGGCTTGGCCTTGGCCAGTAGCAGGTCTGTCTTGGAGCCAGCTGGCTCTGGCTCTCTTGAACACAGGGGAAGCTTCTAGCTGCTTCTCACAGAAGCCACCCCTGTAGCCCCCCTGCTATCAACACTTTGCCACACAAACCCAATACATTTGTGTTCAACAGTAAAACCTCAGAAGATTTTCATTCCCAAAAGAAAGCAAAACCAGAGTTGAATGTATTCCCCTGAAGGACAAAACCATCCTTCTTTTCACATATTTAGTTTTTCAATTTCTCAGAAAAATAATCACATTATTGTCTATGCTACCACAAGAATGGAAACATATTCGTCTAAAAGAACTGGTTTATCTTAAAAAAAACTGAAGTGGAGCATATAAGTGTTAAGCTCTCTATTAGTGTACCTTTACTGCTAAACTCTCCTTGAGAAGACATTCAGAAAGGGGGGGAAATGGAGATGAGAAAGAAATTCAAGGAAGGGCAGAATTTCTTAGAAACATCATTGGACAGATTTTGCTGCAACATACTCTATTAAAAAACCATGAGGAGCAGCTCTTTTAAAACACTGGTGTCACAAGCAAGAATCAATGCAAACAGATGAAGTTGCAATACCTAACACATACCCATATTTTAAAATAACAATTATAGTAAAAAATAGAAGAGTAAATTTAAGAGAGTCAGTAACTGCGATACCTTTCTGTGGTCGAGGTTTTATTTCTAAATGATTACGGCGTATCAAAGATTTTAAAATATAAAGCTATTACACACACAGATCCAATGCTTTGCTACCTGAACACACCGAACATACAGAAGAAGGGCAGCAATACCGAATCGCTTGTGCCGCGGGAAGGGGAACTCGCACGAAACCCGTATTTTTGTGCTAGAGGGGCGCGCGATAGGAGAAGCGGGAGATCCGGCGGGAGCGAGCCCCAAGCCCCGCCCCTCCCCGCTGCAGTCCCCAATCAGGTCGGCTCCCACCACCTAAAGGGCGCCGCCGCCCCGCCCCTCCCCGCTGCAGTCCCCAATCAGGTCGGCCCCCACCACATAAAGGCCGCCGCGCCGGCCCAGGCCCGTTACACTCATTTCCCCAGGCTCAAGCGGCGGCATGTCCGGTAGAGGCAAGGGCGGGAAAGGACTCGGCAAGGGCGGCGCCAAGCGCCACCGCAAGGTGCTGCGCGACAACATCCAGGGCATCACCAAGCCGGCCATCCGCCGCCTGGCTCGGCGCGGCGGCGTGAAGCGCATCTCGGGGCTCATCTACGAGGAGACGCGCGGCGTGCTGAAGGTCTTCCTGGAGAACGTGATCCGGGACGCCGTCACCTACACTGAGCACGCCAAGAGGAAGACGGTCACGGCCATGGACGTGGTCTACGCCCTCAAGCGCCAGGGACGCACCCTCTACGGCTTCGGTGGCTAAAGCTTGCTCCTGCACCACTTCGAGAATCCAAAGGCTCTTTTAAGAGCCACCCACTTTCTCCTAAGAAGAGCTGTGATATTGTTTTTTTTGAAAGGACTTTTGAAGAACACAATTGCGGAGTACTGCTGAAACGCTTTATAATTGGATAAGTGCTATCTAATGTTCTAATTTTGCTGTCATTAGCGAAATTGTCTTTGCTGTGTAAAAGAGACTCCCTGTTTTTTGTGTCCTTAAATTCCCTTGCAAATGTTGTACCCCAGTAAATCATTTTAAGTGTCCTTTGTAATCACAACTGAATGTTTTCTTTACCTTTTTTTTTAAATCTTCGTTGTTTTAAGTATAATCTGGAATTTTATTCATGTCAACTTAAAATTATGATGTAACTGAGAGTAGATAATCCACTGCAAAGAAGAAAGGGAAAGCAATTTATCACGTAGGAAAGAAGATGAAAGTTGCTCTGAGATGAACGTTTTCTTTCTGGTAATTCTAAATAAATTTTTTTCTTTACTATAACCTGTCTTCAGTTCCTTGTCTCATTTTTTTAAAAAGCAATTTCAGGATTATATCTAATAGAGTTTTCTGGAGTACATATTTGGGGGGATGGGTGAATCGTGAGCAAAAATTATGTCCCTGGCAACACATTTCAAGAAAACTTGTCAAAAAGAGCCTTATGCGACAGTGTTCTCATTCTCCCGTGCAGAGAACGCTGCCCACCTCGGGCTCAATTCTAAAGTATGGCTGTTCTATTTCCATCATCACCGGAGGAAACGGTGAAAAAGAACCTAGTTTTTCAGGTTTCTATGAGACTATCAGTAGTTATCAATAAATACTTGCGGCCACTTCTGGTTTTCTCACAGCTTTTAACGAGTAGGGGTACGTTAAATAATAGAGTAATTCCGGATTCCATTACAAGCTTTTAATTTCACAAATAAAATCATTGTCTAAGTGTTCTTAAAGTCACGATTTTACATGATGGTACTTAAGATCTGTTTTGCCGAACGGCCTAGAGAAAAGAAAACAACTCGAGAAAAATAGCTTAAAAGGTTCATCTCGATTGTTGCAGCTACAACCTTTCATTATAGGACTTCTGAAGTGTCTGTGTGTCTGTTTTGAGGTACCAGGTGATCTCTCCTATGCGTCTGTGGGGATAATGTGCCCGTTGCTGTAAGAGGGAGAGCTGTACGGCATCGAAAGAACTTTTTTCTTCTTTTGTAATCAGCCCACGGGGAAAAAA